CGATTGGCCGACAAACGTGTGGATCAGTTGAGGGAACTAATGGTCACTCGTTTCGATCACAATTGTATGCCATTAATCGGCAATCATTTCACATCATTGAGAGTATTATATATCGATCACTTCAAAGACATTCTCGAAGAGATTCCATTGGAACCGCTGTTCGCGTCGATCTCAAGACTCGTCCATTTGAAAGAGCTGTCAGTAATGCTGTCACCCCTGCCTTTCGAAACAGTTCCACATCTGGACAACAGTGCCATCGATCGGCTCAGAGAGTGTCCAAAACTACATTCATTGATGATTAGGCGTGCGATCGTCGCCGAAGACTTTATGTCCGCCGTCGCCAACAATATGCCGGGGCTTCGAGTACTGAAACTTGAAATCGTTTACTTCAACACCGAAGACATGACCCCCTGTTTTGCACGCATTCCAGGCCTCAGACACTTGTCGTCGCTGACACTCTTGGGAAACAGATTCTTGACGGACACTGTCTTCGAGGCGCTGATCGTTAACTTTCCCCAAATAACTAAAGTCAATGTCTTGTTCGCCGCTTCACTGACCACCGCATCGATTGTCGCATGTGTTAAGCGCTGCGAACAACAGCCCAACCGATCGCTAACTGTTGTGTTTAGCGATGATCTCAAGGCTCCGTTTGAAGGCATGAATCAAACGATACCAAAGAATTTAGTTATAAAATATCGATAAATATTGCAATAGTTATCAGTCAAACCATATTCTATAGGAAAAAACGTTTAAAATAAAATCATGGAAATGTTTTTTTAAAAAATTTTATTATTTTTTGTTAAATAATTATTAATTTAAGATCATAAATGGATATCAACACAATCATGATACTATTTCTTTGAGTAATCCAGTTTTTGTCAAACCATTGGACTTCATATAATTGCTCATAAATAATGTATTCAGAATACATGTCTTGCAAGCAATTCATTAATCCCGTGAACCGTATCTCTGCCTCTGTTTTTGAGTTATGTTTTATCTCTAAATACCGTTTAAGTAAATAAATATATGTTTCCCTATGAAGTCTGTAATAATAATAACACAAGTAGTGCTAACACATAGTAATCTTTCTCCAATAAGGAGGCTTCTAGGAGGCTTAGAGGGTGGAGCATACCAATTTGAATAATTGAGACCCGCCACTCCCGATCCTCCTAAAAGTCAACAAAATGTGAGGTAATCATAGTGTTGATTAATTGAATGCCAAATAATTGTTAGCTGTATTGTTTACAAAAAATTATAAAAGGTTTTTTTCACACTCAAAACACAAAACTCCAGAGTTATCATAAATATTTTAAAACCCTTTCGCCTAAAATATACAGCAAAATGTATATATACTGTATAATTAAAGGGTCAATCGTGTGGAGGGACAGGCTTCGTATATATCGGTCCTGGTATTGGTAGTACTGAAACTTTTTTAGTGGGCACTCGATCTCACGCTCCGCTCAAACAATAATACAGTAATAAATGGATATATAGTTTCGCTTTTCAAAGTTACTGCACGTTTATTAGGGCTATTAAAACGGATCTTCAATTCAATTCACAAAATGCTATTCAAATGTTTTATAATGAGTTGAAGAAAGTTTGAGAGGAAAAAAGTTTTTGTTGTTATTATTGTTGTTATATTGTTGTCGTTGTATTATTGTTGTTATATTGTTGTTGAAAACATTGGTAAAAGCACTTTGTTGACAAACATTGTTCACTATAATAAAGATCTCTTCTCTTCGCTTGTATTGATAAGAGCCTAGTATTTAAGAGACGCTAAATGAATGACTGTAAGCGTAGTACATCTAAACACCGACTGACGAGTGATGGTCTCATCGGCTGTTTATATGTATTAGTGTTGAGTGTTTGCTGTTTAGAGTTATTTTAATTATCTGTGTTATTTTTTAAAAAAAATAATCATCATTGTGTTGTAATTTATACACGATTCATATGTTATTCATAGATAGTGTACACTAATATATACGAAAATTGACTAGGTGAATCAATAATCACGTTCAACTAATTAAACCCCTATTCTATCTCAAAGCAGTCATCGAAATAATAATTACAATACATAATTAAGTTTTAAATATAAATAATAACGTATCCAACAATTTAATAAATAATAATGTGTGAAATAAAAAGAAGAAAAGTTGATCCAGAAATAAGACAATCAATGGACAGATTTGGTGATGATTTGTGTCAACTATTGTTGTGTTATTTACCGATCAAAGAGCGGTTCCGTTACGAAGAAGTGTCCAAACAGTGGCAGAGAGTTATATATGAAACACAAACTGTTATCACATTTCAAATAACACATGAAATAAGTGACAAAACATCTGAATTAATACTAAAAAAGTGTAAAAACATCACAACTATTGAAAGCCTTTTCACAAAAGACAGTTTGAATGTAATTATCAAAGACTGCCATAAATTGCATTCAATTACTTATACACTTAAAAGTGATGTAAAAGCGGAAACTATTGACAAGTTTTTTTCAAAATATGCGAAACAATTGAAATTTGCAAACTTTAATGTCAGCGGCTTCGCAGAACACAATGCAATGTTTGAACAGAGACTCAAGTGTTGCACTAATTTAACAAGAATTGATATTTCATCATGTAATTCGTTGTCTGTATTGAGTGGTAATCAAAATGAGATATTGTTTAAAAAATTACAAAAAGTTGTGCTAATATTTACTGGATGTAATAACAATGAAATAAATAATTTTAATGCATTTGTGAGAATATATGGCAAACAATTGAAAGCAATTACAGTGTTTGGGTCCAGACCAAGGCTTCAATACAATTGGCGTAAACCTTTATTAATGAATGGTTTGTCACAAATGACTGAATTAATTGATCTTAAGATTTATATTGCATCAGACACTATATCGTGTGAAGATTTAAAAGCTATAGGCATTGGTTGTCGTAAACTTAAGAGACTATCACTTCAAACTGAGTTTCACACAAACAAAACTTTTCATAAAATAATTGAAACAATTAATGAATACTTCAATCATTTAAAACGTTTAAAAATCACTTGTTATACGCCAGGTATATTTTTAATTCTACCAACATCGCTAAATAAATGTAATAAATTGACACATTTAAAAATCAATTATAATTATGTTACAATTGCAACAACTTTTGCTATAAATTTCTGTAAACTTAAATGTTTATCAATTAATTGTGAGAAAATAACAGACGATATATTGAATAAATTGTCAAAATTGCCAAAAATACAAAAAATTAAACTTTACGATGACAACATAGTTAATTTTAAATGTTTAAATATTTACAAATTTAACAAAATTATTTATCTTTATATTAACCGAAATAATGTTCTTTAATTTTATTTGTATTTTTAATAAATAAATTTATTTTTAATATATTATTTTAAATTTTGTAAATAACAATTAAAACTTATACATGAAATGTGATTCTAAATTTATATTTTAATGAAAAAGTTCTATAAAAATTTTTATAATTTGCATTTACTTTTTGAATGCATTTTCAACTATTGTTTCATTTATTGTATTGAATAACAAATTGTTTTACAAAAGAAAAAATTCTTAACTTTCACTAATCACTGAACCAATAACATGACTATTAATTTAGTCAATAATTAATTTGTTTTCATTTTATTCATAATTTGTTACAAAATTATTCATAAGAAAAAACGTGTAAATCCTTTCATCCGTGGCTTAACTAATATTATAATTATTTTTACTTATTTTTATTGAAATTATTTTCTCAATAGAAACATATTTTTCCGCAAAATAAATGAATAATTAGAGAATTAGTTAATTCATCGAGAATTTAATTATCTATTGAATTGAGTTCATATCGAGATATGATGTCTTTTTAAGTAAATATTAATCAGTTATCAGTTAAGAGTCTAATAAGGATTGTCTTTAACACAACTGTTTTCTCGAAGTAGAGTTTGAATACTAAATGAGACAAATAATGTTAATCTGAAGTGCCATCGACTGAAATCATTGCAACTATTTTTTACATATTATTATAACATGTTAAAACAATTTGTTTGACTAGAAGTTTATGTAAAAATAATTTTTTCATGAAATAATTCTTTATCTAATTTGATAGTCAATTAATTGAAGTGTTTCCACACGATTTGGTTTGAAAAGAGTTTTGATCTCAGGTTTTGGATTTTGATCATTTGTTTGGCTCACAATTAATCCAACAAAAATGCTTTTCATACCAAACGAAATGAGAATAACAATTATTTTCCTAACGAAACCGAATAGTCTATTAAAATATTGTTTACTTTTATAACTGTATTTAATATACAGTATAAGTGTTGTTATAATAGACTGTATATGGATGTAATTTAAATGATATTTAAATTGTGAATTTTGTAGATAAACTTATTGTCAAAACATTTCATAACTTATATATATAAGTTATTTAAGAATATCTATATATATTCAAAGTCCAGTTTTCACTGCCTATCAGAGGCACCGCTTTTGGCAATAATAATATTCGTTACATCTTTTATAGTAATTATTTTTAGCCTTAATATTATTATAACAGCATTAATATAGCGTTCATTTCAAGTCCATTACAAACCGCTCCTTCAAAACACAATCCATTATTTAATTTCATTCATTTATTACACGTTTTTATCGCTACATCTTCTCATTTAATTAGAAACAACCGATTCGTCTGTCTTATCGATTGCTTCTTCTGGTGATTATTGTTGCGTTCTTCCGGAGTACAGTATACGTGATGTCTATCACTCAAATCTCTACCACACCGAACGCCGTAACCAATGAACACCCTAGGCCCACACGCTCCTCTTCGTCGTCAGCGGCGGCCGGCACTCAATTGGCGCAGATTATGATAAACTATAACAAGATCTCGCAGTCGCCGCCGATGAACGGCTCGACCGATTGGTTGAACTGCTTTTACGATTTGATGCGAACCGAATGGACGCGTTTGCGGACATTTCACGCCCGACAAGTCTGGTCGCACCGCTTCATCACCGCCGAAGAGTTGGCTAACGCGGGATTCTTCTACACTTCTAATGGTGATAGAGTTCAGTGCGCTTTCTGTCGAGGAGTGGTCTCGCACTGGAAATCTAAAGACCAAGCGCTTAGTGAACACAGCATTCACTTCCCATTGTGTCCGTTCATAATGGAGATGGATGTCGGGAATGTGCCCATCGGTAGAGATCCCATTCACGACCCTAAGGCCAGACACGATGTCTGCGGGAATATGAGTTCATATGAAGACATGAATTCAGTGCGTAACTCTATTTCAATCAATAGAAGAGATGCCGATATTAATGCATTGAATACACATATAAGTGAATTTGGAGTCCAGCCCCACAACGGACCCAAGAATCCCGAATATAACTCGATTGACGCCCGAAAGCGTTCCTATTATATCAATGCTTGGGATCAATCGATTCCCGTATCAACGGATAGCTTAGCTGAGGCCGGCTTTTTCTCAGTCGGAATGAGTGATTACACGAAGTGTTTCTACTGTGACGGCGGTCTGTCAAATTGGGAGCCGGGAGACGAGCCGTGGACACAACACGCCAAATGGTTTCCCGACTGTCACTTCGTTGTGCTCAACCAATCGCAGGCATTTGTCGATCAATGCAGACAAATGCAAGTCAACGAAGGACCCACCAATTCCCTCAATGAGAACGAATCCGATCCCGAAATTTACAGCGATTACGACTCAGACGAAGAATCGGTGAACGCGTTGGGCATCCGTGCCATCAATGAATGGATGAATACAGATATTGTGCTCCAAATAATGGACATAAATGTTGGAACCGTTAATCAGATTAAGGCTGTGCTCAACAAAAGGTGGCTCGATGTGAGACAACCGTATACTTCGTTCGCTCAGCTCTACGATGCGGTCACTTCCCAACGCAGGAGTGATTCAAATGTACAAAATTCGATAAACCGAAACCAAAGCGCAGAGGAGACACACAATTCGGATGATCTCTACAACAGTTCCAGTGATGACGACTATCATTCTGGTGGAGAAGTGCTGCCGTACTCTCAGCCGTCGCTGTCGTCGACCGTATTGTCACTATCCAACTACTCCTCGTCACCCGATATGTTGGTCAATGATTGCGAACCGAGTCGTGTGGAAGACAATCGGTTATTGTGTAAAATATGTTTAGACCGTGAGATAGAAGTGGTGTTTCTTCCGTGTGGCCATCAGTTGGCGTGTACTCAATGCGCCCCTTGTGTGGCCGACTGTCCCATATGTCGCAAAATCATTCGCGGGACAGTTAGAACTTTCTTCTCATGAATACTATTCACACATTAATTTATTTCATATATAAATTTAATAACAGATGTAATCAGTTTTGATCATTACATTAGATATCAATTAAAAATCCTCTTCTATATGTTATATAAGAATAAAATATTTCATTTTAATTATAACAATTAAACATAAAATGTATTTTAACTGTTTTTAAACTGATTGTATCGCTCTTTTATTGAGACACTGATATAATAAAAATAATGTGAAACAAACAAATTGTGTCCACAATTTGTTGGTTCCTGTATTTTTTGGTCAATTTCGTGTATAATTAAAACGAGTCAATGCTTTGCTATTATTATTTTTAAAAGAGGAGAGAAATACACAATCGAAGGAGACATCGGATATAAATGAACTAAACTTTGTTTTAAACATATCTCATAAAAAAGGTTAACTAAATGAATAGAATATATAAAAACTATTTGTAAACTGTTTTCACACAAATAATATCCTAAAACAGAATTGAGTAATAAAAATCGGGATTTTATTTATGCAAAAAAACTCACAAAATAATTAAATCACATAATCAGTGGAAAAATCTTTATAAACTCATTTGAATAACGAATCCTTTTTATTAATTTATGAGTATTTGCTATTCATCTACTATATTTGACTCAAATGAACACAAGAATTAGAAATGATAACAATTAATAAAAAGGTTGTATCCAACGGACAATGTATTCAATGATAGATATAAATAGGATTTATACCATAAAGTTTGTATAAATATTGTAAAAAAAGTAAAATATTGTATTTTTAGTGTAAAAAAACATATAAATGTTAAAATGCATTTGTAATATAATATTGATGAAGTTTTAGCGATTTATGGGTTTGAGTGTTTCAACAATGATCACCAGATATGAGTACAAATGAATACCAAAGACATTCACTTTGAATCCAAAGCCCAGCAAAAAGTTCTTTTGCAGCATATTATTGGTGTCGGGTTATAAAACTGGCCGTAAATGCAAACAAGTGCTGCAAAACAGTGTACTCAAACACTGCATACGAGAGAGAGTCAGTGGGTGAGTGAGTGAGTGAGTGAGAGAGAGNACAGTGTACTCAAACACTGCATACGAGAGAGAGTCAGTGGGTGAGTGAATGAGTGAGTGAGAGAGAGAGAGAGAGAGAGAGAGAGAGAGAGCAGGACAGAGAACCGGCACAATAATCACCATAAAAACTTTAGTTGAAAGAGAATCGTCAATAAGCTTATCATTAAGATATTTTACAATTGGCTGTATTGCTACTGGACTAACGCCGGCATCATCACCATTCATCTCCTGTGCTCTATTACCGTACAGTAATGTGTGTTATGAGTGGTATAATGAATAAGCCATTGCACGCTAACACAGCTTCACTATGACTGTCCAAAAGGCAGCACTACTTACAATATGGCCATTAAGTTGTAAAACTGATTTAAGTTACTTTTGTGTTCAATATATGCCGTACTCTAAGCACAGGTGATATTCTCTGTGACAAAAGGATGTGATGTCTTGATTTGCATTCATATCGCTAGCCATCAGAAGCCTTTCGCTGTATTCATGTGTAGATTATGCCGACAATCGGTCCAATCGTTGTCTCTTTTTTGGTAAATCTCAAGAATTGCCATAAGTTTAGGCCATAAAAAAGTTCTTTTCTTTTTGCACAAAAGCAAAAGTAATGGCAATAAATAGTGCAAAGAATGACAAAATAACATATTTATCACAAAATAGTCGTGTTTGGGGTCTAAACAGAAAATTTTTGTTGCCTTCAATTCAGAGCTCGTACTCTTTAACTTGTGTTAAGGAAAACTCATTCAATTGAGTTGTGGACACAGAGTATGTCTATACACGGCCTCTGATATAATCTACATTATGGTTGGGTCCGCAGTTAGCCTTATATACAACATCAGTCGTTTGAATTGAAGTGTTTTGTTTTAATCGTTAATTCAATACAATATTAATTAATAATAATGTTGAGTATAAAAAGAAAAAAAGTTGTTCAAGAAAGTGATGCAAACAGAAGACAATCAATGGACAGATTCGGTGATGATTTGTGTCAACTATTGTTGTTTTATTTGCCACTCAAAGAGCGGTTCCGATACGAAGAGGTGTCCAAACAGTGGCAGAGACTTATATATGAGAGACCTACAGAGGTTTCATTAATATATGATCGATTGACAAATAAAGCATTTGAATTAATATTAAAAAAGTGTAAAAATATCACAACTATTAATAACGTGTCCTCGCAATTAGATATGGAAACACTAATGAAATACTGCCATAAATTGTATTCAATAACTTGTGTAATATACGAAAATAGTATAAATATGGAAACTATTGATACAGTTGTTGAAAAGTTTGCAAAACAATTAAAATTTCTACATATATTCAGAAATACAGACTCAATTATTGTACATCAACTCAGTTCTTGTTTCAATTTAACACATGTGTGCATTGATTTCAACAGCTCATTGTCTGTTTTAAATAATAATCAAAATGGAATGATATTTAAAAAATTAAAACATGTTACATATCGAACTACAATTGAAGAAATGCCTAATTTTAAAAACTTTGTGAGAATATATGGCAAACAATTAAAATCATTTCATGTATGCGGATCTTTGACACATCCATTAATTGAAAAAGAAAATTCATTATTAATGAATGGTTTGACACAAATGACTGAATTAATTATTCTAAAAATTTACATTAATGCAGATCAGTGCACTTGTGATCAATTGAAACAATTGGCTATTAATTGTCCGAAACTCAAGAGCTTATTGCTTGCATTGTATTACGAATCAAATGAGATTTTCTGTAATAAAATGCAAATTATTAATAATTACTTCAATCATTTGAAACGTTTAGAAATCAAAGGATTTCATCCACAAAAGGTCATCATTATGACAGACTCATTAAATAAATGTAAAAATTTAACACATTTAAAAATACATTACAACATAATTGTTATTTCACCACATTTTGCACTTAATTTTAAAAAATTAAAATTTTTTTCTATTAAATGTAAAATAATTACAACTAATATGCTAAATGAGTTGTATTTATTGCCAAAAATACAGACAATTAAATTAAATTGCAAAAAATATGATAATGAAATACACATTAAAACTTTTAACGATTGGAAATCAACGAAACTTATTGTTGTTTATATTAACGACAAAAATATTTACAAGTAAAAAATATATTTGACACCATTATTTTTAAATACTATTATTTTACTGATATTGTTTGTAAATAATTGTAACCTTATTGTAATATTATTTTTAAAAATTAAAAATATTGTTATTTTAAAACATTTGTAATGTGCTATAAAATAATTATTAATAAATATATAAATATAATTTATGGTAATTTTCAAACCATAGAGATATGTAAAACTAAATTTTAGTGTTTTATAAAACACTTACTGTTTAAAAACACCGTTTGTGTGTCTCTCATGTAATAATAAAACAAACTTATATTTACGTATATCTTTATATACAAAAATTTTGGTTATCAAAAAAGTAGATCTAAAAGAACCCGCTTTTTATAAATTTAATTAGTAAACCACACGAAAGACATGTACAAAACATTTCACAAACACATAATTGCATGTATTTTATGAGTCGTGTGATTGTATTATGAATGACATGAATGTGTTATGTTTTTTAATAAATTTTGTTGTTTAATACATTATTTGAAAGAAAAGAGTTATGATTATTAATGCTTCATATTATGAAAAATAAGTTTAACAAAATTAACGAGAGAGAGAGAGAGAGAGAAATGATGGGATAATAGAGCAAAGTTAAAGGATAAGTTTTTGGTGCAATTTATTATCACTTATATTGTAAAATAATTTGAAACAACAATCGAGAAATAATGCTCAATATTTAAATTGATTTAATATGTGTTATCATATTTCATATGAAATTTATTATAATTTTAATGTCATTATGTATGTAAACATTTAATAATTTAAATAATATGGGCCTTTATAGGTAATCATAATATATTATAATTGATTATAGCTAACATAGAAATTATATGGCTTAAACAAAATGTAATTTAATGAATATCAATTTATTTACAAATAGTATATATTAATAGTCAATAAAAATTTTAATTTATAAATGACATTTAAAATTTTTATTTATAAAATATTGTCAAATTGCAGCATATTAATTTTGCAAAATAATTTCACTTTATTCAATTATTCAAGTACATTATACGAAGTGAAGTATTATCCGTTTAAAAATAATTAATTTTATGTTTTTAATACTAAATCAATTACACATTATTATGTGCTCTATTGGCGTTTGTGTATACCATTGTGTTAATCATAATTTCATTTAATTAATTACTTGTAATAGTGATGTATCAATATATAATACGGCTACAGTATTAAGACATGGGTTAATTGACTTAAATATAATCTATGTAATTGCATTTATAGGAAATAGTTATCTTTATCTATATTCTCGTTATGTTTTGAGTTAAAGCCTATTATTTAATGAATTGTATAATAGATTTACATTTAGTTTATGGACCGCACTCTTGATCATTAGTTATAATTCACTAATGATAGAGACTTAGAGGCATGTACTTTATATTTCATGTTTATTGGTGTATGTCGTAATTAACTTTGATTGATAAATAGCCATACATAAAACTAGGTATTTAACTTATTCAAATTTTATACTTGTAATATAGATAATTTTTCCAATTCAAATTAATTTTAAATTATTAAGTTTAAAATTATTAAGTTACCCATATAAAAGAAACCAAGTTCTAGAATCTGTATTTAAGGCATAATATTTATGATAATTAATAAAATTAAAAAATTTAGTTTTAAAATTAATTTGCTAAATTTTAAAGATTATACTTCTATTTAACACACTAGAGCTCTCAAAAACTTCTCAAAATTGTTCAGTGTTTTAAAACATTATAGGTTATATGCAAAATGTGAGCAAATGTTTTGTGTATCAAAACCAAAGTCAACGCGTAATGACTGGCCTAACAGTTGGTCAGGCGTTGACTTATTCTTCAAAATTGAAAAACA